ACGTCAGTTGGCTGGAAACAGTTAATACTTTATTGATTACTCAAAGACTTTTGACTATGTGGATCATTGACAAGCTATGGACAACGTGGAGAATGAGCATTCCAGAACACTTAATTGTTGTCATTAGGAACCTGTAAGAAGCAGTTGTTTGAATAGAATTTGTTTTTGTTAAGTACCGTGGAGTCGGTACCGACTCATAGTGACCCAGTATGGGGTTTCCGAGGCTGTAAGTCTTTATAGGAGCAGAAAGCCTCATCTTTCTCCCTCAGAACGGCTGGTAGTTTTGAACTGCAGACCTTGAGGTTAGCAGCCCTATTCGTAACCACTACACTACCAGAGCTCACTAAATGGTTTAAAACCAGGAAAGGTGTGTGCCAGAGTTGTATCCTTTCACCATATTCATTCAAGTTGTATGCTGAGCACATAAACTGGATTATATGAAGAAGAACATGGTATTAGGATTGGAGGAAGACTCATTAACAACCTGCAATATGTAGATGATACAACCTGCTTGCTGGAAGCTAAAAGGACTTAAAATACTGATGAAGATCAAAGACCACAGCCTTTGATATGGGTTGCACCTCAATGTAAAGAAAACAAAAATCCTCACCACTGAACCAATAAATAACATCATGACAAATGGAGAAAAGATTGAAGTTGTCAAGGACTTCATATTGCTTGTATCCACCAACAACCTTCATGGAAGTAACTGTCAAGAAATCAAATAAGGTATTGCATTAGACAAATCCGCTGCAAAAGACCTCTTTAAAATGGTCAAGAGCAATGATGTCAGTGTGAGGAATAAGGTGTGCCTTACCTAAGCCATGGTATTTTCAATAGCCTTATATGTATGCAAAAGTTGGACAGTGAATAAGGAAGATTGAAGAAGAATTGATGCATTTGATTTATGGTGTTGAAGAAGAATATCTGACTGCCAAAAGAACAAACAAATCTGTGTTGGAAGAAGTACAACCAGAATGCTACTTTATAAGCCAAGATGGTCAGACTTTGTCTCTCATATTTCAGAAATATCAGGAGGTACTGATTCCTGGAGAAGGACATTATGCTTGACAAAGTGGAGAGTCTGGAAAAAAGAGGCAGATCCCCCCCCTGCCCCAACAGGATAGAATGGAACAGTGGCAGCAGAAATTGACTTAGGCAAAGCAACCATTGTGAGGTTGGCCCAGGACTAGGCAGTGTTTCGTCCTGTTGTGCATAAGGTCACTGTGAGTTGAAACTGACTCGATAGCACCTAACAACAACAATAAATTCAGGTAGTCCCTGACTTTTGACATACAGGTATATTTTGAGATGATTCTGATTCATAGTCACCCCGTATAGAGTTTCCTAGGCTATAAAAGTTTACAGGAACAGAAAGCCTCACCTATCTCTCATGGAGTGACTGGTGAGTTTGAACTGCCAACCTTGTGATTAGCAGACCAGGCGTATCCTACAACACCACACAGATATTGTGTGTGTTTTCACAAATGGAAGGCTTGTGTTAAGCTGTGTTTAGCAAGTCTATTGGCACCAATTTTCCAAAACCACGTGCTCCATGTCTCTGTCATATTTTGTTAATTCTAACAACATTTCAAAATTTAAAATAATGTTATTTCATACTTCATTGACTATTGTATAGCTCAAACATTACTTTTATATGCACTGATAAACCAAAAAAATTGTGTGACTCTTTTTATTGTTATATTTACTTTATTATGTTGGTTTAGAGTAGAACTAGCAATTTCTCTGAGGTATGACTATATTCGACTTATGACAGACTGCACCCACGACCAGCTGTTTTTGATACATATTATTGTTAGTTGTATGTACTACATACAGTATTATAATGTGTAAAAGGACCACACAGACAGTTTTCACTAATCTGACTAGAAAAGCCATCCCTATCCTCAGGGATCATACTTCCACAGTGGAGTTATTACTTCAACTGACTAAATGCCAATGCTGTCCATTTTTTTAAAAAATGGATGTGTTTTTAATATATGTATGTATTAAAAGATATCCAAGTTTATATGCAATGTTTCCAACCCCCAATGTCAAAGATTGGATTTATAAAGATACTGATTATAGTAATGCAAACTAAAAGAAAAAATTAAAAAATGAGATATTTAACTTGCATCAGAACTTACTTGACCAACCTGAGTGGTTGCAACAGAATCTATCATAAGTCACAGACAGAATAGAACCTATACTGCCTATATTCCTACTTGAGTTAACATTTGATTATCTACTTTGTGTTAAGCACTGTATTAAGAAATTTACATGTATTATAAATCTTGTAACAGGAAATCAGTACTGTTATCAGTTTAAAGATGAGGAAACTGTAGGCTAATATATGTACAAATGGTGTGTGTGTGTGGGGGGGGGCGGCAGATCCACGCACCATTTGAGAAGCCCCAACTGAAACAGGGTCCTGATCATACTGAAATCTTGGTAGGGTGAGCTGTTGTTGTTGTTGTAAGTGCCCTCAAGTTGATTCCAAATCATAATAATCCTGTATAGGGTTTCCAAGGAACAGCCAATGGGTTTGAACTGCCGACTTTATGGTTTGCAGTCTAGTACTGATCCTATAGTGCCACACCAGGAATAGAAGTCACAAATTTCTTCTCTCAATTATCTTAAACTGATGGAGACTTTGTGTAGTTCTTCTCCATCTCAGTTCACTGTTCATTTCACTGGATACTCCACACCAGGAGGATCCTGTCAGTGTTTTGTCTGTATCTTCTCAGGTCTTACTTTTTACATACATACCAGCTTACTTCCAAATGGCAGCACTTGTGCCCTCAGCAGAGGGTGCTGTCTGATAGCATCTCTACCCTGAAGCTAGCCCAGGCCTGAGAGCAGGGAGCTTAGGGAATTAATACCGCTAAGGAAATGCCCTCAGCCACTAATTAGTGCTATTGGATAAACACCCCAATTCCCTCTTTCCTTAGGTATATGCTGTCTAAGTATATACATGCATGTATGTATATACATTTGGATTTGATGCACATGTGTGTATATACATGCATGCATGCATGTGTGTGTATGTGTGTGGTATATATTGTACTTAGAGTTCCTCAGTGGCATTAAGCCCCAGGACTATTGATTGAGTTCTTGGGGATGAGACCTTCTCTCTTATTGGAAGTGAGATGTTAGAAGGAGGACAGATGTGACCCAAAAAGCTACTGGGAGCCACCTTGAGAAATGGATGGAGAGATGACCTGGCAACATTGTGTAAAGCCCCCAGTCAAGCTGTTGAGGTGTGGTTGTGGTTGGTTACGTGCTGTCAAGTCATTTCTGACTCATGTTGTTGTTGTTAAGTGCCATCGAGTCAGTTCTGACCCATAGTGACCCTATATAGGGTTTCTGAGGAGTGACTGGTGAATTTGAACCGCCAACCTTGCAGTTCAAAAGGCTTTGCAGTCTGGAGCATTAACCCACAGCACCACACCAGGAGGGTTTCTGGTGAATTTGAACCGTTGACCTTGAGGTTCAAACCGAGCTTGTGGCCCAGCACCACACCAGGACTACAGCACTACAGCAGGACTCCAATTGAGATATGTTGTTAAGGGCCATTGAGTCAATTCTCACCCAGAGTGACCCTGTATAGGGTTTCCAAGGAGCAGCTGGTGAGCTTGAACCACTGACCTTGCAGTTCAAATGACTTTGCAGTCTGATGCATCCGCCCACAATGCCACACCAGGACTCTAATTGAGGAATTGTTATTGTTGTTAAATGCCATCAAGCCAGTTCCAATCTGTAGCGACCCTGTATAGGGTTTCCAAGGAGCGACTGGTGAGCTTATATAGGTGCTTATAATAATCATCAATGACTCTTCTCCTGGTATGATTGTTATGTGTAGTGGAGTCCACCCCAACTCATAGTGACCCTATATAGTATTTCTGAGGCTATACATCTTTATGGGAGCAGAAAGCCTTCTTTTTCTCTTGTAGAATGGTTGGAAGATTCAAATTGCTAATCTTGCAGTTAGCTGCCCAATTTGTAACCCACTATGCTGGAGTCCTGGTGTGGCACTGTGGGCTAATGCGTCAGACTGCACAGTCATTTGAACTGCAATGTCGGCGGTTCAAACTCACCAACTGCTTCTTGGAAACCCTATACAGGGTCGCTATGGGTTGGAATCGACTCGATGGCACTTAACAACAACAATGTTGCCTTAAATCTGATTGGTATAGTTGGGAAGAATAAACTGGGTATTGCAGATCATGCCCTTCTTCTTCCTGCTGGGGGCACATCTTTTCCTTTGTTCCTTTCTGAGAGAAATCTTCATGCAGAAACCTGCTCTGGCCCCAATATTGCTGGTGCCTGTGGAGGGATGTCAATCTGATTCTTGAGTTTAGTATTGGAAAGCACACTTACCAATACTAAAAACGTATGGTACACCTCTCAACCTAGTAGTCTTCATTAGTAACAAAGACTCTCATCTCTCGGAATTCTTTGTATTGTTTCTCCTCATTTCAGACTTTATTCATGGCATCCTTGGAAGCCTTGTACAGGGTCGCTATGAGTCAGAACCAACTCCACATCACATCCATCACCACCACTCTTTACTGAGCTCTCTCAAGGATACATTATGGGTCATACTTGAAAATACTTCTTGGCTGTTCAGCTAAGTTACTTTGACTCTCTTACCTTTGCTTCTTCCCCTTCTCTTTGCCTTCTCATTTTAAAATCAAAAGATTCTTATTTGATAGAGATGAAGCTGGAGTTCTGTGAACTTAACAGGTATAGGTTATAAGTTCAAGAAGTATTCATTTTGCCTCATTTGAACTCCAAAACTGCCCTGTTTTTGTTTTTTTTTTACTTTTCTTCCCAGAGGAAGTTTACATTATACTATTATGAACTGAAATATTTTTTTTAAAAAGGATGGAATCAAAACAATAAAGAGCATTCTTTACAGACATTTATTGTCTATAGTCCATGTGGTCTGCTCTGCAGGGCCCTCTCAAACGTGGCCACAAGCGTGTGTTCCAGGACACCTAGTCATTGGTGCAGTTTCTCTTCAGAACTTTGAACTTTTCAAACCAAGGTATAACAAACACGGAAAAGTAGCACTTGATTTGCTATAAAACAACAAAAAAATAATATTTAAAAGGAGGAAAAATGCATTTAAGGGTGAAAGAAGATGTGAGACAAGATGATGCTAATGCTTCATCACCCTTCAGATCTGGCTTAATCTTTATTTGAGTCACCTGATAGTAAAATTTATGGGACAGTTTTAGAAACTCTCCGTTTGTGGCCAGATTTGGGGAGTAGAAATAAAGTGTCCACCCAGCATGTATTCACTATGGAAACTACTGATTCTTTTCTTTCTCTTCATCTTTACTCATATGTTCTTTACATTTTTCCTTTCTCAGCTTCTACTGGATCCATTCATGCCTCCTGTAAAATATCTATTCATCCATCTATTCATCTAGCTTCTCAAAAATCTATCCATTCATCCATCCATACATCCATCCATACATATACTTATCTTCCCTTCTCTTCTTTCCCTTTCCTGAAACAACTATCTACAGATTTCTTTCCAGCAGAGCTTGGAAAATCCCAAATAATGCTATTTCACTTCATCCTATAACCACAAAACATCTACTGAAAAAATGAAACGCTTTTCCCACTACCTTGTAAAGTTCTCCTTCCTGAAATCCACAGTTTGTATTGACCTGTAACTTTTGACATGTGGTCCGCCTCATTTCAACGTTAATGTGATACTCCATGTGGTCAGAAACCTGCAGGAAGCAAGACAAGGAGATAAAAATGCCTTCTTCTCCCTTTAGTGTAGTTCTTGGTAATACAGGTACCAAAGTAATAAAGGTAATAAAGGCTAATGATTGTAAAGCACAAGTTTGTGTCTCATGTGCATACACACACACATTTCTTCTCTTTTGGGGCCAGCTTCCTCCACAACACACTCTCTTCTGCATCCCAGCATCCTCTTTATATGCCACACAGGGGCAATAGACCCAGCCCAGGGCAAATGGTGGATTTGGCTCTCTCCTTCCTATCTGACACGTCTGCCTCTTTTTGTCATTTAAGGAGAACTCAACAGAAATCACTAGAAACCAGTTCTTTCTCAATGGGCAAAGCCATGTCTTGGATAGCACAAGTGACAGTTGTTTTGGGCAGGGACCAGTAAAGGTCAGGTAGTAAATATTTATAGTTTGTGTCTCTGTCTTAACTGCTGTACTGCACTAGTATATTGGCTGAACAGTTCAACATCAGCCAGGACAGGCAATCACAACTGTAAGTCTGCTGTTGTAGAGTTCAAGCAGCCTGAGACAATACACACAATTGTGTGTGGCAAGGTTCCAGTGATACTGTTTACAAAAGTAAGCAGCAGGCAGATGTTGACCTTGGGCTCTAATATGCTGACAGCTGGTCACTGGTATCACTTAAGTTATCCCATCCATTCTAGTGAATTTGTTTCTCTTAAAATGCCCATGCCCACTTTAACGTAAGTGAAGTTTAGTGGAATGTCCCTCCACATTCATGGCCCTATTGAAATGATGTAGTAAGAAGCAGTCTTGCACATACTTGCTTCTGGATGTTGAGGATTCGGATGATGCGGAAGTTGTACGGGTCCTCGTTCTCCTGATTGAAGGTATCCATCATGAACTGCACTGTGTTCTTCACGTGGGATTCTGCTTTGCTCACTTCACTGATGCTAATAAAGGTTTTCTTCCCTGCTTGATTGGTGAGAGCCACCAGGGCCAACAGCATGGCAAGCAGGAGCAGCAGGGCCTGCCAGGTTCTAGCCATGGGTAAGTATGTTCTGTGTGGCACACCCACAGTTCTCCTTGCTTCCCTCCCCTTCTTTATCTGCAGCTGCCTTCCAATGAAAGAGCAGAGGGGAAACTGGCCAATGATTGGAAAGCAAACGTTTGTGTCTCCCATGCATATATACACACCATTTCTTCTCTTTTGGGGGCGGCTTCCTGCACAACATACTCCCTTCTGTTGCCCCAGCATCCTTTTGATGTTTCAGCTCACCTCAGCTGGGCTGTGGGAGTTCTAAAGAGTCAGGAAGCAAGGGAGACAGGTGGAATGCCTGATCTCAGGGAACTGAAGCATGAACTGGTGACCTTTGCTGCCTGGTTGCAACAGTGAGGGAGGAGAACTACAAGGAAAGATTGTCTACAAAGGAAGTCCTCTTTTCCTTTTCTTGGATCCTGGAGACCAATTTAGTCCATAGCCCTAAAAGATAAGTTAGCAGGGGAACCAGGTGGAAGTTGTAAGAGATTCTTACCACTGATCCAATAACATTTGAGTGTGGCAAATTCTGAGGGAACTTAATTCATAATTATTCTGTAGGCAGCACAAAATTGAAGTGGAGGTTATAGATCTGTATTATTAAACACAAAGCTTCTGAGTTGATAACTCTTGCCTCATAGTGATAAGACTCCACAGGACCCTGTAATTGGCACCAGGTCAAGACGGTAGGAACATGATGGGATTGGGATGAGCAGAGAGCTCTGCCTTGGTGACTCTCAGAGCTCGACTCTTGGTTCAGTGCGTCATTATTATAGTCTTCATATGAACTCTTTTATAGTGTTATCTGGCAAAATGTAATGCAAAAGTGCATGTAGTCATGGTTTCCTCTGTTACGGTAACACAGACGAAGGTTTAGGTGAACATAGGTAAGAGGTAACTGAAAGGGCCCAAAGGCTACCCAGCATTATAGTTAGACAGATGCCTTCTTGGGGCTATCCAGGAGGCTTACAACAAGGAAATTGTTCATATCCCCGTATTTCTCTCTCTCAACACCCCCAACAATCATCCACACTCATACAACAAAACGTGCAGATACAGACACATTACACCGAAATACATACCTACTTACATAGAAACAGATACCTTTCTACACACAATGAAACACACAGACACACTCATCTACACAAACTCACACATTGAAACACACAGACTCACATACACACTCATACCTTTTCACAAATAGACAGTACCTATACACAGTCACATATAAACACGTAGACACCCACCTACACACACACATTCACACATTGAAATGGACACACACAATCATGGAAAAGCACAGATCTCCTGCCCATGCCTTCACTCTGCAATCAAGAGCAGGGTCATTACCAAAAGATCTTCCTTAGGTTGCCCATTGCAGCTCTGCTGCATTAGAAGCCCTCTCCTTGGGGTGAGATCTCTTTCCTATGTTAAGGGCAAGACAGTCTGATGCTTGTACCCTCAAATCCTCACTCCTTTTAAAATTAGCCTCAGGTGAGACCCTTCTGCCTTTTTTCCCAGCCAAGAATGTGAAGCAGGGATGAGGTGCGGCTATGGGAACTGCATTGACTTCATGGTCACTCCTCAATCCCAGTGTTTCTCTGGTATTCAGAGTTCCCATAGCCGCACCTCATCCCTGCTTCACATTCTTGGCTGGGAAAAAAGGCAGAAGGGTCTCACCTGAGGCTAATTTAAAAAGGAGTGATGTTTATAAACAACATTCTTAACACAGAAAAGATTGAAGTTACCAAGGACTTCATTCTTCTTGGATCAGCTATCAACACTCAAGGAAGCAGCAGTCAAGAAATCAAATGACGTATTTCATTAAGCAAATCTGCTGCACAAGACTTTTTTAAAGTGTTGAAGAGCCAAGATGTCAGCTTGAGGACTAAGGTGCGCCTGACCCAGCCATGGTATTTTCAGTAACCTCATATGCATGCAAAAGTTGGACAGTGAATAAGGAAGACTGTAGAAGAATTGATACCTTTGAGTTATGGTGTTGGAGGAGGATATTGAAAGTGCCATGGACTGCCAAAAGAACCAATAGATCTGTTTTGGAAGTGCAGTCAGAGTGCTCCTTAGAGGCCAAAATGGCCAAATGTCATCTCTCATACTTTGGACATATTGTCAGGAGGGACCAGTCACTGGAGAAGGATATCATGTTTGGTAAGGTGGAGGGTCAGAGAAAAAGGGAAAGACCCCCAACGAGATGGATTGGCCAAGTGGCAGCATCAGTGGACTCAAGTGTGGCAACAGTAGTGAGGATCGGGCAGTGTTTCATTCTGCTATGCATAAGGTCACTATGGATTGGTACCAACTCGATGGCACCTAACAACAACAACTTCAATCCCAGGAGAGTGGAACTAGGTCTTGTTGCAGCAAGTGATAATGCCAAAGGAATCACAGGCAGCCTGCCTTTGATCACAGAGCTTCCTCAGTCTGTCTGGGAACACAAAGACAAAGTGTAAGAAACAGGAGGTTGGAAGTCAGTTGGGCTTAGTGTGAGGCTTGTGCTGCTTCTTCTACCAGCTGAATGAGCCTGGGCAGCGGAGTGTTTCAGCAACCTACCTGAAATGTGGAATGCCACTGCTCTTCTTGTTGTGTTGCTCTGACAATTAAGCAACAACAAATGGTTGAAACGGTTCATTCTCTCTCTCTCTTTTTTTTTTTTAAAAAAGGTTTTTATTGTGGATTGAGTAAAAGTTTTAAGAGCAGATCATCAGTTTTACATTCAACAAACCATACACCTTGTTTCATTACAATGATTATAATTCCCTCCATGTACCATTAGTTAACAGTATTTCTCTCTATTCACTTCAGCTATTTTTTAAAAAAACAAAACCAAAAAAACCCCACTCAGCCATATATAATAATTTACACCTCTAAAGGGCACATTCTACAAGTCTGCCTCCTGGCCACTGGCTCTTAGTTCCTCATTTCCCATGAATCTAGAGTCCTCAGCTGCTCCCCTCTTTCCATGTCCCCATCTCTACCTCTGTCTCTGGCGCTGCTGCTACTCTGGATAAGGTCCTGCATTCTGCTTGTGTTTTTCACCCTTGATGGTCCTAGGGTCCTCTGTTTCTGGACTGTAAGATTAACCACTCTCCTGTTTTTGTTACAAAAGTTCTACCTTTACAATTGTGACAGTCGCAATTAGTAATGATAACAATTATTCACAATTGAATCATACAAATCTTATTCCCATCTCTTTTCACCAGGCCCATCTAGACAAGATGAAAACTATTCAGTGGGGACTCTATCTTCCCCCACACACTCTTAAACTAAACTCCCTCTTGAAACCTTGTAAACCAGTCACTTCGTGCCTTTATTGCCCCCTTATTTTAGGTAGCCAATGTCTAAGTTGCCCATCCCTATCTACCCTGTGTACAGAGGGGATAGCATTGGTACTTGATATGAAGACTCCTTCCCTCTCTGTTGATATTTAGAGTTACTACCTCCATGAGTATAGGTTTGTTGTTGTTGTTGTTGTTAAGTGCCGTCGAATCGGTTCCCGACCCATAGCGACCCTGTATAGGGTTTCCGAAGGTGTAAATCTTTACGGGAGTAGAAAGCCTCATCTTTCTCCCGTGGAGCAGCTGGTAGTTTCGAACCGCTGGCCTTAAGGTTCGCAGCCCGATTCGTAACCACTACGCTACCAGAGCTCCTTCAAATTATAGCAATTTACCTTTGTTTCCTCCATGAGTGTAGGTCAGGTTCATCAAAATTATAGCAATTTACCCTTGATTTCCTTTATCAAAAAAAATTTTTTTTTTTGGTAATCTTCCTCTAATTGAGTTCTGATTATTAAGCCATTGAGGCTAGGTCAAATGGGTATTGTCTGCAAGTTTGGGTGTTCTTGTGCATCTCCCCTCACTTCATATCAGCTGGATGCTTCACTCTCAGCCCTAGCCCTCTGTGGCTATGTCCTTGTCCATGGTCTCAAGTGTTCCCAGGTTTCATCACACTTTGGACCAACCAGCAAAGCTTCCTCTTCTCTCTTTCATCTCCAGGTCAATGGTAGTCAATGGACTGTGGTTGAACTCAGCCTATTTCTTCATTGCTGATTTTCACCCTCTTACACTCACCAGTAGACCAATGTGGTCACCAGCAAGCTTACATGCCTGTTTATGTGTTCCCTTTAAGTTTCAGTCTTAGAGGGGAGTTTGTCCTGAAGTAACTTGATTACTTGTCTTGATGGCTTCCTGGCACACAGCTTGCTTATTCTTGTATGTAGTAGCCAGTCATGCTGACATTTTTGTTTTGTTTTTTTTTCCTGGTGACCTTTCTTTGAAGATGTATCTTCTTTTGTTCTAGCTGTTCCAGGCTGGTCTACTTGTCCTTACTAGTGGGAATGTCCCACCTCATAATGTTCTGATTGGGACTCAGGATTCCACCTAAGGTCCTATACTCTGCCAAAGCTTTGCAAGAGGCCGTTTTTCACTGGGCAAGTTCTAGAACCCCTTTTAGGTATTCCAATCAGTTATAGGCTGAAGACGGGCTTACAAATTTTCTGTAATCATGTTTCCCAACATTCCTTTCTATCCCACTCAAGTGTCTATTTTACAATTCTATACAAGGTAAACCACTATTCATAAGACAGTCAAGCATTTTAGTATTATTTCCCCCCTTTAAACTATGCCTAGATCCCTGTACCACAGAGCCCTGTTGTGCCAAGTTTAAGCATGCATCACTATTTACCTCTGTCCCACTTAGCCTATGCAAACCTGTCTCAGTGTTCCCCTATCTACTTTGTTCTTCCACCTCCTCCCTCTTCTTGTATTGCCCTCCCCAACACCCGAACTAAACCCATCATCCAAACTCCACTGTTGAAGTTAACTTTGTTGTTGTTGTTGTTAAGTGCTGTTGAGTCGGTTCCGACCCATAGCGAACCTGTATAGGGTTTCCGAGGAGTGACTGGTAAGCTTGAACCACCGGCTTTGCAGTTCAAACGGCTTTGCAAACTGGTGCCTTAACCCACAGCACCACACCAGAACTCCTTATATACCATT